AAATTAACAGGCCTGTGCTGCTGGACTTAAATATTTAACATGGGCACATGCTGAGTGCTGCTGGATGTTTGCACATGGAGGCAATACAAAACAGAAACAACCTCTTTTTGCAGCAAATGTGCTCACTGTCCATTTGCAGCCTAAACAGTCAACCAGTGGTTCCAGGGCATGGAGGAGCACGTCTATTCAAATCTTTTAGAGGTGAAAAGTTCATGATTGGGTCAGGGCATTGGTGTTTCCCAGAGTTCAATTTAAGGCTAAAGCTTCTCTTCTTCTAATTATTATAAAACATGTACTTTGACTAAGTCTATAAAAAACGCCAGGCAAACAACCAATAGAGAGGAATTTGAAATATTATTTCAGTTTGATCACAGTTTTTCTCTCTTATCCAATTACACCACCATAAATCACCCCACAAGATCACCTCTTCACCGTAACAGAGCAGGTTTACGAGCAATGGACGCCTTTGTCATAAAATTTATGACCGCGAGTTTTTATTATTTCCTGCGTTTGGCCTATAAAACTCAAGAGGAAAACTGGAACGGGCAAAAACAAGTGTTGCATGGTTATGAGTGAATAAGGGAAAGCATCTTCGCTACACTTTAGAAAACAGGCAAACTTTACCGTGGCTCATGTGCAGTTTTGTCATCCATGGATAAATCTGTGGCTGCTGCTCACTGTCCGGACGCTGGTTCACATTTGTGTTTCGCTTCACCGATTGCGTGTTCTCCGCATTTATTTCGCTTTCCTGGCTCTTGTTGCCGCCGGATTTCGCGCTCCTCTCCGGGTCTCTGTCTGTCCGCCGTCCCAGCAGTGTGCTGCAGCCGTAGGTCAGCCCGCTTGCGTCCACGGACGAACTGGAGACCATGGTTATCTGTGGTCCTGACGGGAGAGGAGTATCCGTATTGCCACGCAGACTAGTTTTCATCTCCTCCCGTTCAACAGAAGTCGCGGGGACGGGGCATGTGAATATCCCGTTGACATTAACACCCTCATAACGCCTGGCCCTGTGCCCAGATAGATCGAAACTAAACATAGTGCTAGGAGAAGTTGTCTTGCTTGTTTGCGTGAGGTTGGAGCTGTCAACATAAGAGCTCATTGTAACTATCACCGATGCTTTCTTTTTAAACTAGTAATGGCTGCGGGAGGTTATGTTGCGGTTATTTCCTTGTTTGTGTTAATCATTGCTGTTCTTTGTAGCCGCTTTTGTGAAAATTCAGAGGCGTCTTCTCTAAAAAATAATCCAGGATTTATAGGTGGAGTAGGCTTTGGTATCTTTTTTTAATTCTTGATCCGACGTGCGCTGCCCAAATATGGGGTATTTGTATGGGATCACGTGCACATGTTGGCCAGTCATAAATTGGCTTTGATACTCAATGGGGATATTGATGAATAGGAGAAACGTGTCCGGTAAACTTTGAGCCGTTGGTTGTTGAGGATCAGCTAGGGATCCTTTGCGGAAAAAGGGCAGGACAGTAGGACAAGAGCGTCATCTGGTGTCTGGTATGGGGCAGGACGGTCGGAACAGGCCAGACCCGTCTGCCCCGACACACTGCGAGCCCACTACCAGTAAATAATAAACAATGAAAAGTATTATTGTTGTTATTATTAGGGTTTAAAGTGCCCCACGTCTTAAAATATGTTTACGCACAAGGAAACTTGAATGTCACCGGGAGTTTGTCACAGAGCAACACGTGAATGTTCTAATGTTTATTGGTAAATCACTCATTCCCATGCTCCGGTAATGCCAATCAGAAAATCAAAGATTCAGTATTTAAGAAGCCAAAGTCGGCTTAAAATCACTTTTTGTTTTATCCCATTTCTTTCCCACTTGTCTTCACAGCCAACCCTGGCCAAAAGGCTCATAATAAAAGCAAACGTCTCCAATCACGCACTGACGTTTGCTGCGTATTTTAAGCAACCTTTTTACACGGTCATCTGAATCAAGTTAGGCAGTGTAATGCTCCCAAAAATACAAGAGTAGGGTGAAGGTTTTACAAATATTTTATTCCATGATACACAATAATGACAAAACATGAATTCGTAAATACCAAACAAACGTGAAGAATCACTAGTGTACAAATCGACCTCACGAGGAAAATCTATCGTGTCAAATGATCAAAAAAGGGGCTAAGCGCAGTTTTATGTTATGCATCTATTAAAGCGGCTAAATGTACATAAGTCGTCACATGATTTACATAATATACTGTTACTTTGATTATATACAGGCATATCACTTGTGTGCGTGTGTGACTGTAGACGATCCGTGCAACTTTCAGGTTTAAGCAGGATACTTTTCAGCGGACCATTCAAGTAGTAGATTATACTGTGATCAGATTAAGTGTCCGCCCGGTCCTTTCCTTCCGTGGAATGTGCATGTACAATACTGAGTTAAGTCTGACCAACATAGTATTTGGTGAGTTGATCAGAGTTCACAGTGATGGATGGGGTGGGGGGGATAACTACACAGATTTTACTGGCATGAGGAAAAACAGAAAATAATACTTTTAAGTTTCACAATAGTACAAGTTTGACATTGCAATAAAGAACAAACCCTCCAAAATGCATCAGGGGCCATACTGTGGCTGAAATCATCTCTAAAGCTCAACACTCCTGTGGTCAACATGACATATAAGTGGGAGAGCTGCAGCGTAGCCATCATGCAGTGAAGTCGCTCACATGTCCATATAGATATTTTAGGTAGTTATGTTGGATCTGAATGGTCATCAGGTGTTTGTTTTTTCACTTCTTTTTGAACTATTCTTTCTTCTTGTCCTCGTCCTTCCCTTCTTCTACTGCGCCATTGCGTTCCTCCTCTTGAGAGGCTGCTGTCTGTTCACTTCCAGTCACCGTGGAGGTCAGGTTGCTCTCTTTCTTCCATTTCATGCGTCGGTTTTGAAACCAGATCTTGATCTGCCGTTCCGTTAAACACAGCGCATTCGCGATTTCTATGCGTCTGCGCCTGGTCAGGTAGCGGTTGAAGTGAAACTCCTTCTCCAGCTCAAGTGTTTGGTAACGAGAGTATATTTGCCGTCCTCTGCGTCTGTCTGTCCCGTAGCCCACTCCTGCTGAGATACAAAGTAAAGTCACCAATTTAATTGTTTGACATTAAACAGCATGCCTTTGTCTGTGGTCAGTGGGACGTACATTTTGCCTCATGGTTAGGATCATAATTGTAATCCAAATGCATACACGCAAAATAAACACACTTTGAGTTTAAGACAAAGCCTATCTCAAAACCATCTTTGCTTTATTAGCTATAAAATAAGGAACGCATCCTAATGTGTTCTCTGTCTCACGCAGCTGATTATGGCTACTATGTCATTCTTAAAATGAAAGCTGTTTGTTTGCACATGTAAAGGCCCATCTACAAGTCGAGGGGATACAGTAATGTTTTATGGGCCCATAAAAAGTAACTTACTCTCTTGGTAAGACATATCGTAAAACTGGCCCATTTCCTTAATTTATTTGTCGTAGTAAAACTCACCGCTGTGTGAGTTCATTCGCTGCATCCACGGGTAGATCGGGATGTTGCTTTTCTGCTCCTGCGCTCCCCCTCTTCCTTGATCCAAACTGTATTCTTGAGCAATGTGGTTTTGTGTACTGAGTCCCATGTTTGTTTGCCTGCAGCTGGGGAGCACGTCCTTGTCTTGAAGAAACACGTTTGAGCCATATTCATACTGTGCCCTGCCAGACCCAAAAACGACATTATCTTGAGGAGAGTAAAAAGGTGCATATATCCGATTCTGGGTCACAGCGGCGCCGTACGACGAAAAATGTCTGACTGTGTCATAGGTGGTGGAGTTTAGGGGTACGTTAGGCAGAACATCTTGACCAGCGGATAAATGGCAGGGCAGCTGCGGGTTTGCGAAATAAGAATTCATACCTTGCTTGTTACCCTCTCTCCAACTCTCCCCACTTCTTTATCGCTCTCTTTTCAATTTTCTTCCCAGTAAATCTCCTTCCCGTCTGTGTCAACCAACCACACCTTTCTCCAAGGTCTTCTTTTTTTCTCGACTTTCTGCTTCTCTAACTGGACGCGGGCTACTTTGAGGATTCAATATTATTAATTTCCTATCTCCGGTTAAGACGCACAAACCCGAGTGTTATAGCCGAGGCTTGGCTCGGTGAGAGACAATATGACAATGTCAGCTGACCATTCTCCACCAATTGAGAGGCAGGAGTAGAGGAGAAACTGTAGCTTTTAGCTCAGAGCTTGAACATTAGCGCTAAATGCCGATAAACACAGCGTAGACTTGGAGTAGCACACTATGCACCTTGGCTGCTGAGAATGTTTTGAATTAAAGTTTAACAGATGTGGTGTTTAAGGAGTAAGTGTGAGTCAAACAGTGTCATTCAGTACAGTGATCATATCCATAGGAAGGCAGACGAAAGGCAGAGAAATACACATGAAGCCATGTTCAAATGTGCCCTGAAGGGTTCATTTTAAAAAATTAAATACATTTCCTGAGATTTATTGCAACAGCCTGACATGTAATACTGACTTTGGGTATCTAGTGTCAGTTAGTGTGTGTGTGTGTGTGTGTGTATGATGTGTGTGTGTGTATCCAAAACTCACTCCGTTTCAGTTTAGTATTAATACAAAAAGCTCCAGTATCCACTATCTCCATGCTTTCATCCCGCAGGACTCAGACTTTGTATGAAGGCTTAATATTATATTGACATTTATTGTTTATCTCAGCCATATCGACGAGTTTCCAAATACTGTTAATGCTTCCGCTGTGTATGAATTATCTGGCATGTGAACAATTTCCATGCTTTTGCAGTGAACTGGGGGAGGGTGTAGGTGGTAAGAATGCGTTTATGGTCTCTCCTCTGTGAGGGCAATAAAACAAGTGACGTTCCCCAGCTCACCAACAACTATCTCTGCAGCAAAGCCCTGCAACGCGAGCAGCAATTTACCAGGTTCAGAAATGGAAGCACTGCACAGCATGTGGAGGCATAAAACAAAAGGGACAACGTGCACAGACCCGCTCGACTAGTAACTGTAGTGTCTGAGAAGATCCTTTCTGCCACTCTCTTTGAAAAAAAAACAAATCAGTTATGCGTCTGTCCAGCACATGTCAGACAAAATGCTCCACAGCTCAGTATGTGCACAGGTACAGACTCTTTAACTCGTAACAGTAAAGAGCATAAATTAAATGTAAACGCAGATGTTACAGTTGAATTACAGTATAAACAAATGCACCGCATTAAATCACCTATTGAGGTGTCCCCGTCTTTCTTCCTGTTCTGGCACAAAGGGGAACCGATAATTACCTCAACAGCAAATGAAAGGTTTGGAAATGACTTTGCAAAACATTTAGCACACCTTCCGCGCCTGTCTGTGCACAACGTGTTGGACTCTACATGCGCAAAATTCCACATTAATTATAATAATAATAATAATAACAATAATACAGAGAACAGCGTCCACTCACTTTAGGTTTTCTGTCACCAACATAATTGAATTACTTTTGTACAGTTGAGCGTATTTGCACACCCCTAGCATCTTATTTCCATCAGTTAAGTGTGTTTAAGCTAAATGAAAATTAAATATCCATATATTCATTTGAAACTACTTAATTCACATTATCTTTGCTTTTTGCAACATGCCATAATAGATCCCAATAAAATAATCAATACGAGTATCAGTTCGCTCTGGCTGCAGCAGCCTATTGGTTCATCTCATTGATTTCTTGAATAGGGTGAATACTTGCAGCCTAAACGTGCAACACTGTTTGGTCTGTTGTTTGGGCTCCTGAATAGCCCATAAAAGAGACAAGAACAAAGAGAAGGAAATAGCTGGTGCAATAAAAGTTTCCCTTCACCTTATTCGTGGCCATATGTGACAGCGCGTCGCCCAAATTCGAGGCAAATAAACAGCAAAAGTTGGAGGTTGTAATGTCGCACTGCTGCTGTCCCCGGATCATTTTGTCCTCATACCGCTGATATTAAGCCATGAATCATTTGAGGTAAAAACAAACACACATATCAGTGCAACTACAGGGAATCCCAGGTTTTAGAAATTCATTGTCGAAACGCTGTTACTGACAAAAACATTAAAAAATGTAATACACGACTTTATCTACAACATGAAATTTGAATTTCAATTCAGACAATAGGCTCTAAAACAAGCCCACGGTGTGATAAATTTAGCGTCTGGTAGTCAGCCTTACTTTGTTCATTTGTCATACTCACAACGTCAGAAGGAGCATGTGTATCGGATTTATTCCCTTGTAACATTTTCTGTTGTCGTCACCAGGCAGCTACCGCAATTTGCTCATTATTAAAAGCGTTGAAAATTAACAGACATGTTCAGTGTGTAAAATTACACTGAAGTGGTTTGCGTTTCAAAACACAGAATGTGCCTAAATCACAGCCCTCCAAAAACACGCGGTTCACGGTTTAGGCTGTAAATAAAGGCTGAACAGTAAAGCCAGTGTGTGGACTGGGGAGGCTGGAATGCAGCAGAGGTTGTGCCAGTGTGCAGAATTAGAAAGGTCATTCTTTCCCTTGTGTTTTAGTGTTTTATTGCGGCCCGTGAGGCAAATCCCATACGCGGCTTTTGATGCAGGACGGAAAGAAGCCGTTTGGTCCACGTTTCCACGATCTTTAAAGGGGTAATATGACCAGCGAGCAACGAAAGAACAAGGAGAGTTCTAATAAATTATTAAATTATTAACAATAGCCTAATGCTACTAACAATTAAAATTAATAATTAGTATGAATAAGACTTACTGATTAATATTATATGATCTTAAATTGTAATTATCTACTCTACAAATTATTAAATTAATAAAAGCAGCGAAAACATAACGTGAAAGGCAAACATTATTATCAGTATTAGTTTTATTATTATATAATGTTACTCATTAACATGCTGGGTCTCCTTTAAATGTATATGCTTTAATTGGTTCTTCTGCTGAAGGCCTAACTTTACCAGCCCGCTCCTCTGCAGCATGGCAAGGTCCATATGTGTTTATATATATAAACATATATCACATTTCTGTTGCATGCCTATGGATGCTCATCAATATCCAGTAGCTCAACATTATTCAGCATTAGTTATATGGGACCTGTAAAATTTCTACATTACCAGCCATGATTAAAAACGCAGGGAGGGAGGCGCAGTCGGGTGCATTTTTCTCTTCCCCGCTTCAAACCTCGCTAATAAGGACTAATTCACATACTAACGATGTAAAGCCCTCTATAAGCACTTTACCATCACTGGCTAGCCCGGTTAATGTCCGGAAGTGTTCGACTTTATGCTCGTTAAGCACTCAGGAAGCTGTTGCCCATGTGAGCGCATGTTGATCGACACATCATAAATTCTGATCATTAGTAGGCCAAAATTTTTGCCCTGTCGAGATTTGAAAGTGAAGTTTTAAATGTGGTGATGAGGACGGACTCACAACTTGATGGAGTTTTATGAGAAATTATGTCAGGTTTTAAAAACACTGCAGGGCAAAACAACAGACCGTGGTATACCCCTCATATTTTAAACCAAGATTTACCCAACTATCCAAATGGCATGGACTAAATGGACTCTCTCTCTCTTCCTCTCTCTCTGCAGCCATTGTGCGGGGCAGCGGCGGACAGGAGCCATTGCAAGACCAGTGTTTCATAAGGGAAAAGCAAACGTGTGTAACAGTAGGTTGTAAGACTTTACAGGCTTCAGAAACGAGGTTCTGCCAGTAATTGTGTTTTACAAGATTGAAACGGAGCTGCTGAGCTTCAACGGGGGACGGAAACACATGAAATCACTTTACAACACAAACAGTATTTTGTCTCTGCGCAGACAGTAATAAAGCACAATAAAACACAGAGGGAGCATTTCACCAAGCTTAGCTTTGATAAAACAACCGTGATAAAGCACACCACACACACACACACACACACACACACAGTGAAAATGGCTTTGCAGCACACAGTCCTTTGCTTTGTGGTGCAGTGAGGGACAATACCATGTCCCCTGTCCTTAATAATATTTTTCATTTACACTTTCTTGGTCTCCCTCCCACACATGCGCACGCCGCCGACACACACACACACGCACACACAAAGCTGGGTTTCAGCCTCATCTCTGTGTTGTTTCGTTTGCAGATAATATTTTTAAATTCATCTGGATTGTATTTTCTTTCTGCCTGTGTCAAATGTCAGCGAGGAATCTGGCCTGGTTTACCAGACGCACTTTACTTAGCACAGTCACTGCGCCTTGTGCACTAATGTGAACATGACTGAGGATGCCTGTGATGGTTGTTGTTTTTTTGTTTTTTGCTAATGGTGTAAATAAAATAACGTGCTCACTTCTTTAAGTCTTCAGTTATTGTGTCACAGAGAGATGCATCTTCTACAAATGACTGCATCTCATTCAGAGCTAAACAATAAAAGAGACAAATCTCTCCCTCTACCAATCCAACACAACAAATCAGACACTCAAAAACACTCCTGAGTGTCAGCTGGTTGCAGTTGCTGTAGCTGGCAGCGGTGTT